TGTTTAAAATCCCATTCTACTCCTAGAGTTCGATGGGTAGTGTCATAACTCCTTGACATTTACATCAAAGACTCTTCTTTGCATACATCAGACAAGATGGTCCTTACTTCCTCCGAGTTGGTGAACCACTTCTTTAGTTTAAAACCTCCTCTACATAATAATTCACTTATTTGCTTAACAAAACTCTTTGCCTGATCACAAGTAGGAAAGGATATTAAGCAATCATTAACATATAAATTACTCTTGACAGCATCTACGACATAAACATCATAACCGTCGGAGAATATTTGGGCTGTCTTATTCAAGTCGAAGTTTGCACAAAATGGCGATGATGTGGCACCAAATGGACGAGATGTCATTTGAAACTCAGATGGTTCCTTTGACATGTCTCCCTCCTGCTACCACAGAGATCTTAAGGCTCCTCGACCAGACTCAAGGACCTTCATTTGCAAGAACATTTCTTCAATATCTGCCGAGATTGCAACTGCTTCCTTGCGAAAACGCAATAATATAAACACTAACTCAGCAGTGGTGTCAGGTCCTTGATAAATCATATCGTTTAGGGAAACACCTCAAACTTGGCCGCACAATCAAGGACCACTCTAAGTTTTTCTGGCTTTTTCGGATTTAACACAGCATGATGAGGTAAATACCACCGGGGACGATAATTCGGTTGCAACTGTAGTTCGGGTACCTTCTCTGCATAGCCCTTTGTAAAATTACTTTCAATACCTTTGGTATACCTTACGTGTAGACTGTTATCCTTCAACAGTTTGCGCTTCAAATTCTGTAACCTACTGTTGGCTACTTCATAGTTTCCCACTTTCCTACTTGGATTCTCTTTCCATGGTATCGGAACTACGAAATGACCGTTGTCGAGGTGCGTGCCCTCTTCCACAATCTTTATAGCTGCCTTATCCTCTACCGATAATGATTTATCATTTGAATAAGCATCGGAAAACTCTGCGTCATAAAACTTACGTACTTCGTTCTCTAATGTCTGTATCTTACTGGTGTGATTAACCACTTTTCCTATAATCCGGATACGATGCAGGTCCGAAGACCGTCCACCCCAGCAATGTTTTCACAGCGTACGGGTTTTTTCTTCCACCCAATCGCTGATCTAACACCCAGTGTGCTTCTGGCACGTCGCAACCAATCAACAGCAGAACTTCTTCAGAGTCTAAGTTATCTATTGGTACATCCCTTAAATGTGACCACTTAACTAGGTTGTTCACCGCCGCCCTTGTTGGCTTATGACCTGGTATACCTGCCGCAATCAGAGCTCCTTCGATCGTAACATGTTCGGACCGATCTAACGAATATACCCCAAAAGGTGTCCTTGCGACCGTCATTGTCCTATTACCACTCACGGTCTCTACTACCACTGACGCTCGGTTTTCCTTCAGCCCGAGATACCTCGAACAGCTCGATTTTATCAACATCACATCAGACCCGTTATCCAACAAGGCATAACCCACCATTTCGGCGTTTCCTAACATCAACCGCACAGGAATCATTCCTAAGCACACTTGACTACTTAGGGATTTAGTAAGTCCACAGCAATTCTGGGTTCCAGACTTATTATTTACACCGTTGCTTGTCGATTTGGTATGCAGCAGAGTGTGACGTCTTTTCTCACAACTGTCAACGTTACAGGGCCTTGTCATCTTGCATTCACTGGCCTTATGTCCTTGTCTAAGGCAGATGAAACAAATGCCATTAACCCTTGTGTGAGACCATCTCTCTTGAACGGTAAGCGCTAAAAATTTTGGACATTTATAAATAGCATGGTCCAGGGAACACACACTGCATTTAGCTCTCTCTCTCTCTCGAATTATTATCCTGCTCCAATTGCAAGTGACAATTTGTCTTTAGGTTGTGTCCCATTCTCGGACGATTCGCTAACCGTCCAAACCTACTATTAGCTACTCTCGCTCGGGATGCTATAAATTGGGTAAGCTCGTCAAAAGTCGGCTTTCTATTATCTTCCGTCAATTCATCCACCCGGACCGCCCACTGGGCTTGCATAACTTGAGGTAATAGTCTTACTATTCTTTCCAAAGTAACTAAAGAATTTAGATCAGAGGTATAATTCATCTGTTCCAAGACCATAGCACATTTTTACATTTTAATAGCCAAGTTTGATAGTTGCTCCCCGTCAGTATAATCAATATTTACAGCATTGAATAAGTCTTCTAATGTTTCTCGAGCGATTACATGAGACTGTCCAAACAAACGTTTAAGGATTTCCCTTGCCCTCCTGTAACCAGAAGATGCGTCCATCATGACACAACCCTCAATAGCTGTTTTCGCCTTGCCCTTACAATAGTGCATCAAATAGAGCAAACGCTGGCTATCATCAGTGACTCTTGATGCTACATCGGTCTCAAATTGCCTTACAAACTTCCAGTATCCTCTTGGCTGTCCATCGAAATAACTCAGTTCAACCTTTGGTAGTTCTAGACCAACAACAGGCTCTATAGACAAAACGCTCTTTCCTGATAATTCAAGCCTTTGCTTCTCCTTTAAACTAAGATTTTTTACGTCATCTGTCATCGAATTAAGACTAGAGTCACTACCATGATAATCAACCCTATTCGAGTCTGAACCATGACAGTTAAGGACATCAAAAGGCACTTGCTTGGTAATAAGAGATTCTTCATTAACATCAACGAACTTTGAGCTTGCTTTCCTTCGACGATTAGTTGGCATTATAAACGAAACGACCAAATACTTCCAGAAACGATAATCAAAATCCGCGAACGATTGCCGAAGGATTTCGGCTAAGTAATAATTGTTTAGAACTGTAGTATCCAAACTACGGTTTTGATAGAAGAATAGCCAACCGGGGACTTTAGACACGCGCCCTTTCCCGCCGAAATCAAAACAAGTAATCGGGTAAATAGCGGTTCTATAATTCATCATAAATTTAAATGTAAATCGTTACCTAAACAAATATTACCACCCGGCTATTCAACCAATAATTGTTCAATCAATCAAATCTAAATTATAATAAATAAAGAAGTTGATAGAAGATGAGGGAAAATTACCAGTCACGACAAATGAACGTTATTCTATCCTGACTGGATAGAACACACACAAAAGGAGGAGCAAATCAATATGGCTACCGCCAAGAACAATCGTCAAGTAAAACAACACAGATGCAGTTCAGGAAGAAACACAAACTTAGTGAATGCGTAAGAAAAACAAAAACTATCATAAAAATACAACTGTTAACAATTCAAATGTAATCAAAGGACAACAGTGTACAACTAAGGGGATCAATAGGTGTTGGGTCGGCTTCCGGAGAACTTCAACGGAGCCTCCAGAGGCCCACAAGGAGCCGAAGAGTCCTGCCCAATTAGAGTGTGATGGAACGTTCTAGAATTCCAACGTGGCGTGCTACTATTGGTCGGTAGCATAATGTGTTGTTATCGGATTGGCTGTAAAATGATGTTGATTTAACAGACTCCAAAATCTATAAATACCCATGATTTTCTGTACAAAAATGAACCTTGGAATAAAGTGCTTTCTCTCGTTCTTGTGTCTTCTCTCTGGAGTTCAAGTCGCTGTGTAGTTCTAGACTGCGGGTTACCGAAATAGCTTAGGAATCGTATATAGCGTTCAACCTACACGACTTATCAGTGGCGACGGGGATGAAAACTTCAATGAATAGTTCCTTGGAGCAATTAGAAGCTTATATGGTGCGTCAAGAAAAGAGGTTTGAAGAGTCCCATATTAGAATCATGGAAACCCTGATGCAGAAATTCTGCCTCTCCGAGAAAAACCCTGCTTCTAGTGAATCTCAAGTATCACATACTGATTCAGTCATTATCGCCATCCATGAATTTAATTTTGATGGTGTAGCAGATGTAACTTTCGAGTCGTGGTTTAAGAAGTATGAAGATTTGTTTTATATTGATCTTTGCAAACTGGATGATGCTTCAAAAGTCAGAATACTTCTTAGAAAACTTGGTACTATGGAACATGAACGCTATAGCAACTTCATTCTTCCGAAGAACCCACGAGATTTTAGTTTTGATGATGCAGTCAAAACCCTATCCCAAATATTCGGAGAACAATCATCTCTATTTAATATCCGTTACCAATGCTTAAAGTTAACAAAAGAACCAGGAGATGATTGGGTGAAGCATGCAGGAACTGTGAACCGAGAATGTGAGAGGTTTAGATTGTCGTCCATGTCTGAAGATCAATTTAAATGCTTAGTGTTTATCTGCAGCCTGCGTTCACCCGAAGATGCCGATATCCGAACCAGACTCCTAAGCAAACTCGAACACTGCCCTAATATGACCCTGCAAGAAGTGACTACTGAGTGCCAAAGGTTAGTAAACTTAAAGCATGATACCTCAATGGTAGAAAACGGTAACTCTTTCCGTAACGTCAATGCAGTTAAGAGAAAAGTCTTTCAAGGTTCCAGTACCCATAATTTCCAAAATAACAGCGACAAACCACCATCTCCATGCTGGGCATGTGGAGGTTGGCACTATAAGAGTTTGTGCCCATATAAAGAACATCGTTGCAGCAAATGTCATCGGAAGGGGCATAAAGAAAACTTCTGCAGGAGAAGAGACTATAGAAAACGTTCCGTGAAATCTTACTCAAAGAAACACAGATATAGTGCTCCAACCAACAAGATATTGGTATCACATAACAGAGCACGAAGTTGCCACCAAAGAAAGTATGTGACCTTGAATATTAATAAACACCGTGCCCGTCTTCAGCTGGACACAGCTTCTGATATTACTCTAATCAGCCCAGAAACGTGGAAGAACATTGGGAGACCCACAGTTTTCCCAATAACACAGCTGGCACACAGTGCATCTGGGGGGAAGCTGAATATTGTTGGAGAAATACCATGCACTGTTTCTAAAGGTACGGTAACAAGAAATGCAACATTGTATCTGTTAATTCTATCGAAGCGTCCAAATAACCCCGATTGAGATACGCGCAAAATCGAAGTTCCAAAACAACGATTTGTCTACAAAAGCGGTTCTTTATTAAATAATACACAAAATTTAGTTACAAACCTCAACTTGTGAGGTGTCTGGGCGTTTAAACGCGTCGTTCAAGAATAAAAATAGCAAAGGCTTCCTGTAAGGGTAACATAAAGAATGATTACAACATACGATAGTCCAAAGACAGCCGATAGCTGTGTCTAAATTTGGTAACAGTTTATGAACAACCGAAACTCGAACCAAGAGCAAAACAATATGGAAACTGTTGCATTCAAACAAATGTACAAAACTGTGGATAATCGTTACAGTAGTTAAATTACAGTGGTTATAATGATAAATACAATTATAAGTAAAATAAACGTTAAGGATATAGGTGAACATTCCAGAATGTTACAGTACAACTTGAGATACAACATAAGTGTGAAAATTGTTTGGCATACAGCTGCCTACTGAACGTAAATAAGTAGTATAAAACAACATACAAAGAGTAGAAAAGGAACATGTAGGAACAATGTAAGACAAACTTAACACCGCCCCCCAAAGACAGCATGTCTTTCCTTACTTTCGCTGATTAGGTATTAACGTAAAACGTTCAGAGGTGACAATGGTACAATTTACTCTAGCCACAGTCACATTGAAAGGTCTCTCTATCCTCTACTGTTCAGTCGTCCACCCCTTCTAATAAACAAATTTTACGTATATCTCTAATAATTATGCCCTTCGACGTTCCGATCTTTGCTTGTCTCACTAGCCCATCTTCTCCTGGGTCGATACTTACCACTAGGCCTTTAGGCCAGTTACTTCGTGCATATGAGTCTCCAATAACCAATACTAGATCGCCAACTTGTAGATCTCGTCTCTTTTGTGTCCACTTTGTTCGTGTCTGTAAAAGTGGTAAATACTCCTTTATCCAACGACGCCAAAATGTGGTTGCCAACAATTGCGCTTGTCGCCATTGTCGGGAGTAACGCTCACGTAGGCTTATTTCAATCTGATGAAGGTTAGGTTTTCTTAATAAAAGTAGATTATTAGGTGACAATGTCTCGAGTTGTTCTGGGTCGTCGTAAACTGGAACTAAAGGTCTATCGTTAAGTATTCTTTCTACTTCGGTTAAATAAGTGGTGAGTGTCTCGTAGGACATAGTTTGCTCGCCAGATACAGCACTCAAAATTCTACGTATACTCCTTATTAATCTTTCCCATATCCCTCCACGATGACTTGCGTAAGGGATGTTGTAGTACCACTCTATATTCCGACGAATCATTTCCTTAGCTACTCTATTATCTTTAAAGTCTGGTAATAGAAGTTTTATCTCCTTCTCTAATCCAACGAACGTGGTTCCTCTATCACTATATATCTTCTTCGGCGCCCCCCTGCGATTTGAGAAGCGAGACAACGCCATTAGAAAAGAATCGATTGACAATGCGCAAGCAACTTCTATGTGAACTGCCCGGGTGTTGAAACATGTAAATAGGCAACCGTAACACTTTCGAGATTTGCGTCCCTCTTTAATCATGATTGGACCGAAATAGTCTACTCCTGTCGTTGCGAACGGGAAATCGGGTGTTATCCGCGTAGGTGGTAAGTCTCCCATCAGTTGTGACATCGGTCTGGCTGATCTAATGCGGCAGCCTATACATTTATGTATGATCCTCTTAACTGCGGTAGTACCCTTTAATATCCAAAACCTTTTGCGCAAGGCGGCTAGTGTGTAGTACACCCCCATGTGTCCCTCAGCTTGATGGTAGTAACGAATGATAAGCTCCGTTATAGGGTGTTTGCTAGATAAAATAATTGGATGTTTCTGCTCTAACGGGAGGTCACTACGGTTCAAACGTCCTCCTACGCGAATCAGGTTGTCAACCACGATTGGACGTAGTTTATTAATAACATGATTTTTGGACAGATTGTTATCAGAATGCTTGTGTCGTTTAATCCATTGTCTAACTTCCGCTAATTCTTGCTCTTGTACGTATTTTAATAAGTCTCCTTCGGCATTATCTAATTCGTTAAGCGTAAGGGGTCCCCTTACGATCGTTTTATTGTAGAGGTAACGTTTGAACCTGATGAGCCAAGCTATGCCTTGTTTGAGTTTAATCCATGACGAAAAATAGGATATAAATTTATCAAGGGGAAAAACTGTAGTCATGGTGTCTAAGGTTGTGGCGTTCTTTAACTCTAGCTCGACTGGGAGTTTTAATATTACTTCTCGTCTATACTCAGGCCACTTATCCTTCTCAGTCGTTAGGAACTCGGGACCTGAAAGCCAAGCTTCAATACAGTTGGGGTTATACTTACATATTCCTCTAGAAGCTAGATCAGCAGGATTGATAGATGATGGTACATATTTCCATTGAGATGGCTTAGTTCGCTCGTGGATGAAGTTAATTCTATTAGCTACATATGTCTTGAAACGTGACGTTGTATTAAGTATGTAATTTAATACTATCATAGAATCAGTCCAGAAGTAGATTTCAGTCAGGTCGTTCAGCTTTATTTCTTCTACTATTTGCCTCATCAACTTCACTGACAGTACTGCGGCTTGTAGTTCAAGGCGAGGAACACTAACGAATTTTAGGGGTGCTATTCTAGATTTGCCCAGGATGAAGCTACATCTCGTTATACTTGTATCATGTTGTACACTCATATAGGCTACGGCTCCATAACCGCTTTCTGAAGCATCCGAAAACAGATGTAGAGAAATTTGCCCTTTATTGTACGATCCAATATTGAGACATCGTGGTATCCTTAGATCTCTGACACCTGCCACTGCTTCTAACCAACTTTCCCAACTCAATCGTGACTCCTCATCTATCATCTCATCCCACCCATAGTTTTTACGGCATAGCTGTTGCAGAATTCGTTTAGGAGTAAGTGATAAAGGCGCCAGAAATCCAAGCGGGTCATACGACGATGATGCACATGATAGAATGCCTCTCTTAGTGATCGGGCGTTCCGGAAGATTTACGTCGAATGCGAAACAATCGGATTGCGTGTGCCAACAAAGTCCTAAAGTTCTCTGTATACGTTCTGTTGAGCCTGGTATACGAACCAAATTGTTTGATCTGTCACCTATAGGGACGTCATTCAGCGCTTCATTTACGTTACTAACCCATTTATGTAAACGGAAGCCTCCAAGTGCCACTAGTCTCATTAGGTTCTTTGCTAACTCAGCAGCTTCTGATATTGTTTCTACTGAGACTAAACAATCGTCTACATAAAAATTTTCTCGTAAAGTGGACAGTGTTTTTTCATCGAACAAATCTCGGTGGTCTGTAGCTGTGCGTCTTAAAGCATATGTACCGCAAAACGGTGAGGACGTAGCCCCGAAAGGGTGTACATGCAACTCATAGACGTCAGGAGGAGAATCAAGATTGCCATCGGGGTACCATAAAAAGCTGAAGGCCTTTGTATCCTTTTCGGGTAGATGTACCTGGAGGAACATTTCTTCAATGTCTGCTGACAATCCAATCTTATGCTTTCTGAATCTAAGCAAAACTCCCACTAGGTCGTTTGTAAGATCTGGTCCAGAATATATACAATCATTTAGAGATCTGTTTTGTAACTTAGCAGCACAATCGAAGACTATCCGAACTTTACCTGGTTTTTTAGGGTTAAATACGGGATGATGTGGAATAAAATACCTTTCTTCTTCGATAGCTTGTGTTACTCGAGCCAAGTATCCTTTACTTTCGTGGGTAGCTAATATAATATTATATTGTTTCTGAAGCTGTTCGTCCTTTAGCAACCTTTTCCGTAGGTAAATTAGTCGTTTTTCTATTTCGCGCTTATTCCTTGGAAGTGAGTGCCAATCCACCTTCCAGGGTATCGGCACTTGATAATGTCCTTCGAGCAATACTGTTTGCTTGTCAGTAATCTCCATAATGGTCTTATCACATAGGGACATAGTAACCTTATCAGAGTATTTATTTTCAGAAAATTCATGTTCAAATAATTTGAGAATATCCTTTTCAAGGGAATTTTTCGCTTTTAAACAGTTCATGAAGACTGAAGTTTTATTAAGTTGACCCGTTGGTCCAAATAAAGCCCACCCTAACATGGTTAGTGAAGCATAGGGTTGTTTAGGTTTTCCGATACGCTGATCGAGTACCCAGTGGGCCTCAGGAACGTCAACACCAAGTAACAAACCAACCTTGTCACAGGCTATGGAGGGTAGTTGTACACCTTTCAAGTGTTTCCATCTTTCTTGGAAGTCCGTTGGTGGGATTTCTGCTCTTTTAATAGGTAGGTTATCTATAGTATATGCACCTTCGATTTTTATTCGGTTGGTCTTATCTAAAGACTCAATTTCGAAATTGGTAAGTTCAGCGTTCTGAGATGACGCTCCAATTACTGAAGATATGTTTAATCTTGTCCCTGCACCAGAAATTCCTACCTGCTTTGCTACGTCACTAAGCAGTAATGTCGAATCCGAGCCATTATCTAACAGTGCATAGGTATCCACATAACCTGTGGGACCATGTAGTCTGACTGGAACAAAGCCTAAATACGTCCTAGTAGTATGAGTAGAGTTACAATATGCTCGTTTAACATCAGGTTCTGTGTTGTGAAGAATTCTATGATGGCGTCGCTTGCATCCATCAATTTCACACAACACGGGCTGTCTGCATTCTGTGGCTCGATGATTGGGTTTTAAGCAATTAAAGCAAAGTTTAAACTTCTTTAGCAATTCTACTTTTTCGTTGTGACTCACTGACAACAGCTGAGGGCAGGATGCGACTTCGTGGGCATCGGACAAATTACACAATGGACTGATCCTTTAATCGACGAAGTATGGATCTTCGCTCTTATGGAAGACGACCGGTTGTTCGATGTCGTTTGAGCCTTATAGCTTCCGCCTGCCAATTGTCCGTATGTGTTTGTTGCGATTGACACTTTCTTTTCTAAGAATTGTAATAAATCATCGAAATTGGGCTCTAGCCCCTTTCTTAAAATATCGTCCGCGGCCTCCGCCCATTTAAACTGCATACTACGTGGTAGCTGTTTCACTATTCGTTTTATGTTGGTCGAACAATTCAGATCGTCATTCCTGCCCATCTGTGACAAGGCTATCTTACAATTAGTCATGAGTCTTGTCAGTTTCTGTAGGCCAGTTATGTCGTCTTGATTCAATGGTGATCCACTTAAGAGTTCTGTTAAGAAGGCTTCTACGATGTCGTGTGGTCTGCCGAACCGTTCATGTAGAAGCTTAATTGCCTCAGTATAACCTTCTTTTTCTGGTAATAAAACACAGTGTTCTATAGCATCCTTTGCTATACCTTCGCAATAGTGTATCAAGTACATTAATTTCTGGGTGTCATCATTTACTCTGTCAGCTATGTTAACCTTGAATCCCTTCATGAACGTCCAAAATTTCAGAGGGCTCCCGTCAAATGTCATGATTTCTATCTTCGGTAAGCTTACTGACATACATAGCGCCTTGACACTATCTACCTGTGCTTTGAATTGCATTTCATCGCTCGAAGGCACATTGGTGTATCGGTGACTTGCTGTAACTACTGGAGTTTTATCCTTGGATCGAGACCCCGACAACTCGGTAGTCTCCCTAGGTCTTCTCACTTTGTTTGAAGAGTTTGGAGTTAGCTCTAACAATCGCTTGCGTAGTTGGAGTTCTCTAATCTCCAGCTTAATCTTTTCTACTTCCCTTTCCCTAGAAACCATTTCGTCTTCTACGCCGTATCTAGTGTCTACATAGTTGTCTCCTACCGAGCAACTGTCTTTGGGGTTAGGTTTAACAATATCAAAGGCAAGATTTAAAGGAATAGATGAATTCACCTTAGAAAGTGAAGGAATAATATTTTCAGCACTGGAATTGTCTGTGTCTTGGGAACTGTCATCGTTGTACTTCATTCTTCTCGTTCTAGTCATCGTTGGGATGAATGAACCAAACAGGATTACGACCAAATTCGTTACAGCAAGTGTTCCCTCCAATTAGGACCAAAGTTCAGAACTGTATCCACACCAAATGAGACCAAAGTTGAGAACTGTTAATTCTATCGAAGCGTCCAAATAACCCCGATTGAGATACGCGCAAAATCGAAGTTCCAAAACAACGATTTGTCTACAAAAGCGGTTCTTTATTAAATAATACACAAAATTTAGTTACAAACCTCAACTTGTGAGGTGTCTGGGCGTTTAAACGCGTCGTTCAAGAATAAAAATAGCAAAGGCTTCCTGTAAGGGTAACATAAAGAATGATTACAACATACGATAGTCCAAAGACAGCCGATAGCTGTGTCTAAATTTGGTAACAGTTTATGAACAACCGAAACTCGAACCAAGAGCAAAACAATATGGAAACTGTTGCATTCAAACAAATGTACAAAACTGTGGATAATCGTTACAGTAGTTAAATTACAGTGGTTATAATGATAAATACAATTATAAGTAAAATAAACGTTAAGGATATAGGTGAACATTCCAGAATGTTACAGTACAACTTGAGATACAACATAAGTGTGAAAATTGTTTGGCATACAGCTGCCTACTGAACGTAAATAAGTAGTATAAAACAACATACAAAGAGTAGAAAAGGAACATGTAGGAACAATGTAAGACAAACTTAACAGTATCTTACTAAGAAGCCAGCACTAGACTTAATGGGGTTGGACCTTATAGAAACACTTAAACTAGCAGATCATTCTATCAACAGTATCTGCAGACGAGTAAGTACAGACAACACCCCAGAATGGAATCAGAAAAACGTCATGCTACGAAGACATCAAAACGTGTTTAGAGAAGGATTGGGAGAATGTACGAAAGCTAAAGCACTGTTAACTCTAAAACCTGAAGCTGCTCCCGTTTTTCGACCTAAAAGACCTGTGCCCTATGCTGCTCTTCCAATAGTTGAACAAGAATTACAACGACTTCAGCAAATGGGTGTTATCGAGCCTGTGAACTTCTCGAATTGGGCTGCACCAATAGTGATGGTCAAGAAGTCGAATGGAAGTGTTCGTTTATGTGCAGACTACTTCACGGGATTAAATGAAGCGCTACAGTCTCACCAGTATCCGTTACCTTTACCAGAAGATCTTTTCGCTAAGCTGAACGGTGGCAGATATTTTGCAAAATTGGACTTATCAGACGCATACCTACAAATTCCTGTATCTGATGAAAGCAAAGATCTCTTAACGATCAACACGCACAAAGGTCTGTTCCGGTATAACCGACTACCTTTTGGGGTAAAGACAGCGCCCTCTATTTTCCAGCAAATTATGGATACCATGTTACAAGGTATTCCAGGAGCTGCAGCTTACCTAGACGACATCATAATTACGGCAGTAGATAAAATGGACCTGCAGAAGAAACTGGACCAGGTACTAGAACGCATAGCTGATTATGGTTTTCGCCTCCGAGCGGAAAAGTGTGGCTTCTATATGCAGCAAGTACGGTACCTTGGGTTCATAATAGATAAAGACGGAAGACGACCAGATCCAGAGAACATTGAAGCAGTGAAAACAATGCCTAGACCCAGGGACGTTACTACCCTACGATCATTCTTGGGATTGGTCAGTCATTACGGTACCTTTCTCCCCGATCTCCATCGTCTACGTACTCCACTAAACAACCTACTACAAAAGAACACAAGATGGAATTGGTCTGCAGACTGCCAAGCATCTTTTGAGAAAATCAAGCAACTCCTAACTTCCGATCTCTTATTGACACATTATGATCCTTCTCTACCGATAGTCGTCGCTTCAGATGCTTCTAACTATGGTGTGGGCGCAGTTATCTCTCACATTTTTCCTGATGGGTCTGAAAAAGCTATCTCACACGCTGCCAGATCTTTGACAACGACCGAAAGGAACTATAGCCAAATCGAGAAAGAAGCCCTATCAATTATCTTTGCAGTGAAAAAGTTCCACAAGATGATATATGGTCGACATTTTACCCTAATAACAGACCATAAACCACTACTTGCAGTTTTTGGGTCAAAGAAAGGAATTCCTGTTCATACAGCTAACAGACTACAACGATGGGCAACCACACTTCTGGGTTACGACTTCAAGATCAAGTATCAGTCTACTACCGCTTTCGGGCAAGCTGACGCATTGTCGAGATTAATAGGCTCTCAATCGAAAACCTCGGAGGAGACTCTTGTAGCAAATATAAAAGCCGAGGAAGAAGTTCATCGCGTGTTGGATGACGCAGTTAATGGACTCCCAGTAACCTTTGAAACTATCAAGAAGATAACTGAAAGTGATAAGATACTGAGCTCAGTTAAATGCTATCTCTTGACCAAATGGCCAAACAATCGCCTTGACGGAGAACTTTTGCAATAATTTCGTCGACGGGACTCTCTAATGGTTGTTGATTCCTGTATTATGTTCGGTGATCGCATTGTTATTCCGAAGTTATTACGTCACAAGGTTCTCAAGTAGTTTCACAGTGGCCATCCTGGGATCAGTAAAATGAAATCTTTGGCTCGTAGCTATGCTTATTGGCCGTCAATGGACAAAGATATCGAAAATAAATGCCGTAACTGTTCATCATGTATTCAAGCCGCTAAAAATCCTTCGAAATGCGAACCTCAGTGTTGGCCTATGCCCGCGGGACCCTGGGTAAGACTTCACGCAGATTTTGCCGGTCCAATCCAAGGGAAAATGTTTCTAATTATCGTAGATGCATTCACTAAATGGCCGGAAGTATACATCATGCCAAATTGTACAACGTCAGAAACGATCCGCAAGTTGTCTACCCTATTTAGCAGTTTCGGAGTACCAGAGACCTTAGTGACGGATAACGGCTCTCAGTTTGCCGCAGAATCGTTTAAACATTTCTGTAGAACAAACGGAATAAATCATCTTCGTTCTCCACCCTATCATCCACAATCAAACGGGCAAGCAGAGCGATATGTGGACACTTTTAAACGAGCATTACTGAAAGGGGGAGGAGAAGGGACGACTGAGCAGGTGATCACAAAATTTCTAACATCATACAGATCCACCCCAAACCCAAATGTTCAAGACGGCAAATCTCCCGCGGAAGCCATGTTTGGAAGGCGTATTCGAACAGTCTTCGATGCCATGTTGCCATCCAAACTAGTGGATGAGCGTAGTCGCGATCCAAGTATCCGGAACTTCAGTATTGGCGACAAAGTCTACATTAAATCCTACATCGGGAAGAACCGATGGGAGCCGGGCGAAGTGGTGCAAAAACTGGGAAGAGTACTGTACAGAGTTCGAGCAGCTTTTGGGACATGTATACGTCACACAAATCAAATCCTTAAGGACAAAAGGATGGTGCAGACTCGAAGTAACCGGCCGACTTTTCCGTTAGATTTAATCTTAGACGCACCAATGCCACAAACGCCCAGGAACACTGAGAAGAAGTCTTGGACAAGAAAGACGACAAGAATAATGGGACGCCGTCGCAATCCAGTTATCAAACTACAAGTGGATCCCAGAAAGAAATCTTATTCGGGGGAGGTGTTGGGTCGGCTTCCGGAGAACTTCAACGGAGCCTCCAGAGGCCCACAAGGAGCCGAAGAGTCCTGCCCAATTAGAGTGTGATGGAACGTTCTAGAATTCCAACGTGGCGTGCTACTATTGGTCGGTAGCATAATGTGTTGTTATCGGATTGGCTGTAAAATGATGTTGATTTAACAGACTCCAAAATCTATAAATACCCATGATTTTCTGTACAAAAATGAACCTTGGAATAAAGTGCTTTCTCTCGTTCTTGTGTCTTTTCTCTGGAGTTCAAGTCGCTGTGTAGTTCTAGACTGCGGGTTACCGAAATAGCTTAGGAATCGTATATAGCGTTCAACCTACACGACTTATCAATAGGAACAAAGTACAAGTATATACATGGAGGGATTTTCACCAACACACAAAACATTCAAAATGGATCTTACACTTTGGTCGTTCGTACGGTGACATCTACAGGAAGATCGTTAGGTAATGCTCCGACGTCAGGTGAGTTCAATGGAGCTGAACTACTCACGGATTCCATGACGTTTTCAACGATTCAATTTATCTGTTCTTGAATCTCAGTGATTAACTTCCTATCTTTGTTCTTGACCAGGGTATCTGGTTTACTATATTTCTTAACCAGATTCTTCGTCATGGCATATAGTTGTTCTATGCGTCCTTCTATTGCAGGTTTCCCCCATGATGCAGTTATTTGTGTTGCTTACTAGATAAGATAACAAAGTAGATAGAACAATATGAAGGTATCATTCTCATGCTCTTTTCTTTTACATATTTGCTGTTTCCTCATTAAGTTTGACAGTGTATTATGAGTAGTACAAAATACTGAATCTGTGGATTCAACATATCTTTTCACTTCAATTTGTTTACGTTTAATACAAGATAATAAGTTTCTTAACTTAATCAGACTTTATGTTTAAAAAAAAGTCATTTTGTTGTGTTTTCTTGATAACTTGACAGAAATAAAAGGAGTGTTAATCACTATTCCAAGTTCAGTTATTTGTATTTTTATCAAAATTCTTGTGTTTAGAACATCAGTCGACCATTTTTTAGCTACTTTTTATCTGAATTAACAAACGTGTTTACTCTTGTAAAAATGGTGTGTTTTTCATTGTCTCTGACATGGTTGTTCTCATCAATCCTGGTTTAAATTTGGAGAATGATCATTCTCTTTAACTTGTTATGATCACTTAGTGTATGAAGCGTTTTAAATCGTTTGAACACTTCAATGCGGATTATACTAATCGGTTTCTTTCAATCATTCATGGGATAAAACACGTTATAGTTATACTGAACGTAAGAAATCGTGTTGGCAACTCAGTATGAGATAACTGTTAATGTTCAAATTCATCACATTAGAGAAACTCATGATGTTCTGCCATTAGGATTGTTGCCTTCTAGACCAAGAATAGTTCTTGTCCGCCTTACAACGTACTTTGAATAGTTGTGCAAAACTTTGAAATTGCTTTGATGGTACTATTTCCTCTGTACCAGACGACTGAACTCTATAAACCATACTCCAGTTCGAATATTCGTCCATCCTTTACAATTCACCCTAGTAACTGCTATTGTGAATATTTTTCATAACAAATTAATTTACTTCGGATTTGCTGGTCATTTTTGTTCATATTTTTCATTAGCAAACCTATAATGAACTTGAAAAAGTCTTCATTGTGTTGTTCAAATGTATGATGATCCATGTTGTATTGGCGTCTAATATTCCAGTTATGAATCTGTTTTAAACAAATTAAGCTAGGAAGAGCATTAGGGCTGAAATATAGAAATTCGTGGAATGAGCTAGCAACGACATTGATAAAAGCTGCAAGCGAAGTAAATATGAAACAACTATATGACGCAACGAAGAAACTGGCAAGGAAGTATAGTAAATCAGAGAGCCTTGGTCAAGGACAAATAAAGCAAACCAACGACTGAGATTCAAGCACTGAGGAACAGATGAGTGTAACACTTTGAGGAACTTTTGAATGGGTCAGCTTCACTGAATCGCATGGATATCAAAGCGGCACACATGGATCTTTTCTTGGATTTCACTACGTCAACAATCAAAGTAATCACGATGCATATAAAAAAACTTTTAAGCAAGAATACAGTAAGACCTTTCCTTCGTGTCGATTGTTGAATAAAAATCTTTTTTAGTAATTAAGTGCTCGGTTTCAGATTTCGTGTGACAACACATAGAAACGTAAGTCGTCCTTAAAAACATTTCTCCTCACTGAGTGACAATGCAAAAAAGTTATTCCGTATAACGTTTGGTGTCAGTTTTATTTGACTACACCTATCAGTTTTAAAGGATAACTAAAATCAGGTCTAAACTGTTAACAGATTTCTCGTTGCACATGGGAATCTGGCTAAATTTTATGAGCACTTTCATTCATCCAGACCGATTTACAAAGTACGCTGGTAGAAATGCTTGTTATTCACAGATCAACCAACACTGTGTGTACTTCCTGTAAACGTAGCAAGGAGGTAACGCAATATGGTATCTGAAACTGAAAAATGACGTTTTCTGGACGGTAGATCACAGAGCCATCAAAAAGACACAAACAGTTTGTTCACTTCAACCAGTTTGCTATCAAATGTGTATTCCAATTAACTTACATACTACAACATACACAACAAATTCTACTAATGCTACTAATTATACTGCTTTTAGTAAAACTAATGATGATAGAGATTCCGATAATTAGTGATGTACTTAAAACACCCCTACTACCAGTTTGATATCTATGTATTTTAATCAGTGAACTCATCTACATTCCATCGCCTACAAGTTTCATCATTTATATTCCGACATTAGCGGTCAAGGTCAACTATACAGTGGTAATATATAAGTGCTTGAGAATAGACGGTTTTCATTACCTTCAACCCACTGTTACTACAATCATCAAAATGTTGATGAATAATTCTTGGTTACTGTTGGCCATTATCGCTGTATTCGCAGTCTTCGTTCAATCTGACTATCAACGTAAGTGAATCATTGAATAAACGTTTCGTTATGTTTCTTTAAAAGTGAATTTTTTATTCATCCAAACACATTCAAGCCATTATTCACAAGATAATGCAAAGTTCAAATACGTATGATTAGTGATTGAGACATTGAGTTCTTGCTACATACCACTCCGTGAATCACAGCAGTCCTATGTTTACAAATTGTGAGCATACGTCGATAGATCACTATCTCTGTCCAACATCTTAATTGTATCTGGCGCTTTCCTCGTGTACGTCTATCTGCATTGAAGTGGCCAAGATGAGATCTTACTATTTAATGAAAACAGAGTATTTTTTACATGTTCCAATTGCATTAAATGTGAGGATGTCGTTCTCAGTATTTTATACCTGGTCGTTATGAAATGTGACAATGAGTATACTGGACAAGTTGAACACCGGTTTGATATGCGCTAACATATTGTTGGATAACTAAAGACTATTAACAACCTTACTCTATTCAATAACAACGGGAACCCCGAATGCTTCCAGTATCATATTTTGACCAGCTTCTATGTGACTTACGTCAACTTCATAATAATGTGTCAACTTATGCTTTCCTAATAGTTACGCATATTTTCCTTTTATCATCATGCTGTTTGTCACTAGCACTTCCAATTACATCAGCTATAAATTTGTCCTATAATACTACGTTTTCCTTTGAAACAATAGTGTATTGTATCATGAATGATAACTAAAAACCGATTCATAACTGTGGTTGTGCATAAATAACTGTGAACATTTATTGTATTACAGCATACGTAGTACCGGATGACTGTAAGTTATACATACTAATCAGCTTAACTGTTTCATTACACTATATGTATATTCAAATGATATAAATGAATTATAATTCATTTCGTTTCTATTTTGTTAAATTTAAAGTGAAACAGTATATTTTCTATGACAAATGTTACCAACCAGGTAAGTATAACGTATGTAACCAGGGTAATTGTTTAACATTGATCACCATGTTGAAAATATTGTTATAGTTATGTTACCAAGTAGTAGATAGAGTACAGCGACATAATGATGTAACAAAAACAAAATGCTAATAACTAACCGAATTCAATGATAGATCTTGAAAACTTCAAAGAGAACAAATATGATAGCAACTACACTGAATATATGAGATATGATAAGAAATGAGACTGAAATGATGATAATGAATATGATAAGCAATGACAGATATCTGTTTTAGTTTAAAAACTTCAATTGAATAGCATTAAAAATGTAACTGATATGATGTTTGTTTTTCTAAATTAATTAATAGAAGGTAATTCTGGACCAGAAGTACAAAATCTAATCTCTAATGGAGAAAGCAATGTGAAAAAAACTGTTCGGGCAGAAACTACTGGTACAAAAGGTAAGTGAAACTTATATCATATACCTGGAGATTTCCTATTTTGTTTATGCTGTCAACAAGGTTATGAATCTGATTGTGTATATAAACAAGTATATACTCTTTTGAGAATGAGACATTTTAGTTTCATCTTACAAGAGTATGTAAGATCATTTCTGTGATAGACGGTTATATGAGTCCCATCACTTGTCTTCGTTTCTATCAAAGTCTGTGTTATTCTCACTGGTGACATATTGTTTGTCAATTTAACCAGATGCTTCGATAAATACGCAATGACTGTTCTTATATCCGATAAAATTACTTACTTACTTACGCCTGGAATGCTTTTTCGTAGTCAATAAAGTTGATGTAGAATTATGAATTCCATTCGATTGATTGTTCCACAATGATCCGTAGATTTGCGATTTGGTTTGTTCACGATCTATCTTTACGGAATTCCGCCTATAGGTCTCGAAGTTGGGCGTCTACGGAGTCATTCATCCTGTTTAACACTACCTTGCTGAAGACTTTCCTCGGTATTGAGAGGAGAGTGATGCGTCTGTAGTTATCACAGTTACTGAGATCGCCTGTTTTTGGTATTTTGACCAGACGTCCTTGTTTCTAGCCTGTTGGTACTTGTTCTTCATTCCAAATCTGATTGAAGAGAATGTGGAGTGTCTTTGCAGTTACAGCTACGTCTGCTTTCAGTGAAATTAGATGTGGTCACATTCGGCTTCTCACTGTAATGAGGTAGTGAATACTTTTTACTTTTTCAGAAACGAATATTAAGATATCCGTACAAAGTACAAAGGAAAATAATTGAAACAAACCATTAGTTTCACTTTGTTCAATGTCTAATGAATATTTTCAATGGAAAGACGCCTGTTAGAACAGACGTAAAATTGAAACATTCAATTACCTTCATCAGCCTCCACCCCCTCGCAACATCAAATTTATCATCATCATCATCGAGTAAATAAAATTTTGTTAAGTTAATACAATGAAAAGAATGTTGAGAAGTTAGAATAAAACCAAAACTGAAGATAAACATTAGAGAGAATAACAATCTCTTCAATATAAATGTACAGGAACCTAACAACGTTGAATTAAGAAGTGCAGGTCACCGAAACGGTCATATACATGTTCATGTTTGTGAATGAGAGAGATCAACATTGTTCAAACTAAATGAATGTGTTATTATTATCCATATATAAATCGTCTGCAATACTTTATTCATTCAATAAACAGAGTTATCATTGTGAACGTACTTATAAAATGTAGTACAAGCAGTGTTTGTAAATTGATGTCTTAATATTTATAAGGAGCGTTATTACATAAGGCACTAAGAGGCGCTTCAATATTTTAAATCAACATTTCGATGGACAACATTCTATTATTCCATCACCGTTGTAAATATAAAAATTTATACGGAACGTTACACTTGAAGAAAATTTGAATTACTATATCAATCATATTAGTTCCCTTTGAACAATATCATTGTGAGCGTAATAATATACAGAGAGATTCATTCATTTTCACACGTCTTCCGATTTACACTTTGTTTTCAGAAAACACAGGGAAAGGAAAGAAAAATACTAGAAATAGTAAGCTCATTAATTCAATGGTTGTTCATAAATCAAACACTTCTTGATTCACTGTGATAACAAACAGCTTTCACTCGTAGATCGTTCCAAGTTAGACAGTAACACAATTTGAACACCGGTTCAGTGGTCTAGATGTTAAGTGTTCTCATGAGAGACCGAAGAACCTGTGTTCCACTCCCATATGCGAGATTTTGGTTGTACACTGCTGAGGCAGTCCCATACTAGAACGAAACGAACGTCCAGTACTTATGGTTTTACAATAGTGATCTAACATGAATACGTTCATGACACCAATCTTAGTTCTTTATTTATTCAATAAATTAAGGTTATCACAATGAGCACATTTACACATTGAGTTAAAAACAGTGATTGTGAATCAATGTTCCATTATTCATTGTGAGCTTTGCCGCATAAGGCACTAGATCTCAGTTCCCCATTCTATGTCAACATTTTGATGCATGACGATTTGTTACTACTTCACCGTCGCACATGATTAACGCTTGAGTGGAACGCCACACTGGGAGAAGATTTGAATTACTATGTCAGTCATTTGAGTTCCATTTGAAAAATAACATTATGGGCGTAATAATATACAGAGAGATTCATTCATTTTCACACGTCTTCCGATTTACACTTTGTTTTCAGAAAACACAGGGAAAGGAAAGAAAAATACTGGAAATGGTAAGCTCATTAATTCAATGGTTGTTCATAAATCAAACACTTCTTGATTCACTGTGATAACAAACAGCTTTCACTCGTAGATCGTTCCAAGTTAGACAGTAACACAATTTGAACACCGGTTCAGTGGTCTAGATGTTAAGTGTTCTCATGAGAGACCGAAGAACCTGTGTTCCACTCCCATATGCGAGATTTTGGTTGTACACTGCTGAGGCAGTCCCATACTAGAACGAAACGAACGTCCAGTACTTATGGTTTTACAATAGTGATCTAACATGAATACGTTCATGACACCAATCTTAGTTCTTTATTTATTCAATAAATTAAGGTTATCACAATGAGCACATTTACACATTGAGTTAAAAACAGTGATTGTGAATCAATGTTCCATTATTCATTGTGAGCTTTGCCGCATAAGGCACTAGATCTCAGTTCCCCATTCTATGTCAACATTTTGATGCATGACGATTTGTTACTACTTCACCGTCGCACATGATTAACGCTTGAGTGGAACGCCACACTGGGAGAAGATTTGAATTACTATGTCAATCATTTGAGTTCCATTTGAAAAATAACATTATGGGCGTAATAATATACAGAGAGATTCATTCATTTTCACACGTCTTCCGATTTACACTTTGTTTTCAGAAAACACAGGGAAAGGAAAGAAAAATACTAGAAATAGTAAGCTCATTAATTCAATGGTTGTTCATAAATCAAACACTTCTTGATTCACTGTGATAACAAACAGCTTTCACTCGTAGATCGTTCCAAGTTAGACAGTAACACAATTTGAACACCGGTTCAGTGGTCTAGATGTTAAGTGTTCTCATGAGAGACCGAAGAACCTGTGTTCCACTCCCATATGCGAGATTTTGGTTGTACACTGCTGAGGCAGTCCCATACTAGAACGAAACGAACGTCCAGTACTTATGGTTTTACAATAGTGATCTAACATGAATACGTTCATGACACCAATCTTAGTTCTTTATTTATTCAATAAATTAAGGTTATCACAATGAGCACATTTACACATTGAGTTAAAAACAGTGATTGTGAATCAATGTTCCATTATTCATTGTGAGCTTTGCCGCATAAGGCACTAGATCTCAGTTCCCCATTCTATGTCAACATTTTGATGCATGACGATTTGTTACTACTTCACCGTCGCACATGATTAACGCTTGAGTGGAACGCCACACTGGGAGAAGATTTGAATTACTATGTCAGTCATTTGAGTTCCATTTGAAAAATAACATTATGGGCGTAATAATATACAGAGAGATTCATTCATTTTCACACGTCTTCCGATTTACACTTTGTTTTCAGAAAACACAGGGAAAGGAAAGAAAAATACTGGAAATGGTAAGCTCATTAATTCAATGGTTGTTCATAAATCAAACACTTCTTGATTTACTGTGATAACAAACAGCTTTCACTCATCCAGATAGCGAGCATGGTACAAACTTGAATTTGTTTACACTCTCCAAGATTCGTAGACACACATCACGATATCATTTGTCATTTGCATTTGTATTATTGGAATGTCATTTTCGCATTCATCGAACCCCTGAGTTTACCGACATGTTGTCATGAATATCTTACTCCACTCTCTTTGTAAAGTGTTTGCAAAATCATTTTCTGCAGAGCCATTTGACATTGAGTGCTTCAGCAGGCACAGATTTCGCTCAAGATTCATGATCTCATGGTAAACATCTGAAACACTCTCATACGCCTTGGTACTCGTCAATTCCTTGATGCAGTGAATAATGTAGTCTGACTTTGTTTCCAACGAATAAATAAATGTGTATTTGTTATCCCTTAGAGAAAATTTTGCAGTTATTTATCTACTCAATAACGTGTGCTTATCATTGTGAGCCCGTCACGCATTGAAATGAAAACGTTATTTGTCAGATGATGTTTAATTATTCTTTGTAAGCGTTGTTAGTTAAGACACTAGGATTTATTTTACTATTCCACATCAACACTATGATGCATTCATTTTTATTATTGCCATGATGTTTGCACATGAGCAACGCTTTTATGGAACTTCATGGTAGAAGCATAGAATTCGTATGTCAATCATCTGAGTTTTATTTGAACAATGTCATTATCGGCGTTCATTCCCGTTTGACCCTGTTGATAATCATTGTTTGCAGGGACGATTGGAAGTGGATTCGGAAATATTAACTGGCTAAGCAAAATGGTTCAGTGATTCATGACAATTCAAACATTTCTTGACTTCTTATGTTGACAAACAGATTTCATTTATCCCGAGAGTAAATATTTCATGTCAAGTATTCCATTGTCAAACTCAGAATTGTCCATATACTCCATGATGCATGCACACACATCTCGATGTCATTTGTGTTCTTTATGTACATTGGCGGAATTACAGTTATATATTCATCGAACCATATAATTTTATCGATCTATTATTGCTCTCTTACATTCCTAACATCAAACTCAGTTCTTAATTTATTCACTAACTTGAACTTTTCACTATGAGCTCACTTAAATATCAATGCGCATGCAGTTTTCTTCAAACGATCTTTCATTATTCATTAGAGCGTTGTTACATATGACACAATGACACGTTTCATTATTTGATATCACTATTTCAATGAATGTCATTTTATTACTCCATCAGAGTAGCACATGACTACCGTTTCAATGGAACGCAACAGTAGAATAAGCTTTGAATTTGTATATCAGTCATCTTAGTTCGACTTGAACGATATAATTTTTGGCGTAATTTTATACAGTTTAGCTCATCCATTTTCATTTAACTGTTTATTTCATTGTTGTTCTTAGGTCAGACGAAAAAAAGCCAATAAAAGTGATAGCAGTCGTAAGTGCAAAATATTTCATGGTTTGATGTTAATTCAAATATTTCCTTATTTCCCATGATAACTAACAGCTTTCATATATCTCGATTGAAAAGATTTTCCATCGAACATTCCATTATTAAACTGGAAATTGTTCACATTTTCAAAGATGTATGTACACTCAACTCGATCTCAATTGTGTTCTGTATTTGTGTTAGAGAAATGTCAGTTTTATATCCACTGAACCCCTAGATTGACCGGTATGTTTTCATGACCGTCTTACATTCATGGCATCAATGTCAATTTATAATTTATTCAATAGTTTGGAGTTGACACCAAGTTTTTTATCAATTGGTGCCTTATTTTATCGACCTTTATGAAATCATCAGTACGGGATGTGGCATATTCAAACACGGTATGTAGCGTATAATTGTCGACAAATATTACTCAAATACACAACGTAAGGGGATAAGATCGACATTTCCACTAAATAACCGACGTGAAATCGAAAAAGCGACATTTTCCCCTTGTTCACCACTTTATTTCCCCTTTATTGGTTGTTTGGGTTATCGCTATGAGTACACTCGCAAATGGAAGTACAGGCAGTGTATTTTGAATCAATGTTTCATTATTCAATGTAAATGTTGCTTCATCATTTACATCGACTTATTTCTATATTTTACATCTTCACTTTGATTCATCTCATTTTATTAATCTGTTGTTAAGGCATACGACTAATGCTTGAGTTTAACGTCACATTTTTGAATACGCTTTGCCTTTTCATCTCTAATGTGTATTATAATATTTTACTGGTTTCCATTGTACGAGTTTTCCCTTCTCTTTCATGGTTATTTTAAATAAGGTTTTGCATTTTTATTAAGATCCTACTAAGAAATTTTTCACTGACTGGTGATATACTGTCTATCCCTATTGTTATGCATCCGGAACTCATTCTCCAATTTATTCAATCCATTACTTTTGCTCAATCGATTATGCAAGATTGATTAATAATGATGTATTATTGTTTCTTCTTTTTTCAGACTTCATTGATACTGATGTTATCTAAATGTGTGATAAACATTCAGGATTGTTGTGCCTTTCTTGTGGGATTTTGATTTGCTTTATTATGATAACTTTAAAATAAACGTTTGCGTCATGTTTCCTTTTTTTGTTTCAATATAATGTTATATTTGCTATAAATAAAATTAGATAAGTTAACTTTACTCTTGTTATAAAAGACTTTTTATCTTATTTATCATTTTTTAAAATTGTCAAGCATATCACCATTATTAACTAATGTCATGATGTATCATGCGATGTAGTGAAGTATTTGAGAGTTTTGAACTGTTTGATTAAAGTACTGGGAACCATTGTAGGTAGTCTGAGATTAGATCTTCAAGAATAATATGTATTTCGATAATAGTAAAATGATAGTCAAATGATGATTGGTCAATGAGAAATTGCTTGAGAAACTAATGTAAACGAATTTATGATAATTATCGGTCGATATGGGAACTATATAGGATACAGTTTATTCGGTGTACTTGGTTGAATATTGTTTCAGCTTTAAATTGTCTGCTAAGCAACTGCCTATCTCAGTAATATTTATTTTAACTAGCAAGTTTTGACAGCGACAATTTTAGTCTGCGTTATTTGAAATTCCATTTTGTTGTTGTCTATGATCGGAATCGCCACAACTACGTAAAACCAGATATCGAATAATCATTCTAAGATATCAACAATCGGATAGTGTAGTTAAACACTAATGTTGAAATAAACTTACATCATCGGCAAAATGATCGATTATTCACTGACTGTGTTAATGGTCGATCATGAAATTTAATCTTTTCAACTATCTGAAACTGTAAATGTGGTGACTCGATCACAAGACAATTGTCACTTCATTATATCTTGTCGATAATCATGCAGATATAGACGCGATGACATTTTGACTTAAAAACCAAAATCATGGACAACTTGAAACACCTTGACAATGCCTCACGGTCATTATGCGTCAAACAGAAAGCTCCATAACATTCAAAATGGAACAGTTTGATAAAACGTAATTCATCGTTAAGAAACATAAGTTACTCACATGTTAAATGCAAGTGCACTATTAATGAACAAAGAGTATGTTTCAGTCTATGCACAACCAAAAGACCTAATGTTTCCATACAGAAGCTTCAAAGCATGTAGAGATGTGACAGACCACATATGTGACATCGGTTTAATGTTACTAAGAAAACATATATGCGAAGATGAAAATCATCATGAAATCATCATAACGTCTCTAAAACTCGTTACAGATGAATAGATGGAGAGGCGTTGAGTCCTTTTTTAGTTTAAGTAATACTGACATTTGTTTATTGAAACTGGGAAACATGTAATTACACTCAGTGTGCTCTTTAAACTATTTTCTCAGTTATCCATGGTTGATTGCTCGAGAACTTACCATGAGGAAGCAGTCTAGAATGGTATTTTATTACTGGCCCTAGATGGCTGATTACAAAGCTTTACTAAATAGAAAAGAATTCATTTTTCGTTATTAAAGTCTTATGATATAAGTGTATCCATTGGTCATGTTTCAGTAACTGGTCAGAGCAGATTCTTAACAAATAATAAAAGTTCTTTAATTTATTTGGTGGATTTTGTAAATCTCGAATACGGTTTGATTTTCGACTGAGCTTATTTAAACAACTTCGTAAGCACTTGAAATTGACCTAATGAAAGTTTGCCTAAAACGGAGCTATACAATGAGAACAAGGAGTAGACAGTCAAAGGAGAGTACTCAGTTGAAAAATTAGTTTTCAGTAGCTGCTTAAGAATTGTTCGATGACAATGAACATATGTGTGGTAATAATTCTAGTGTTTGTGATATCAGTTCTCATCGACTCAGTCATGCTAGATCAAGTAAGGTAATGCATTTAATAGAAATAATATAATATTTGAATTACAGTACGAACTAAGAGTCCCAGAAATAACGCAATTGAATTAAGAAGTAAGACACAAGCACAAACGAATGTATTGTATTTGGAATTCGAAATCAAGTATGCAACAAGTACAAAGGTATCATTAGTTCATTCAAACACCACATCTGCCACAGCTTAAATAAAAGTATAAGTGATCGTACTCGGTTGTACGTCTTCTTGTTAAGTTCATCCTGAGTCTGTCCGACATTGTATTAGATAAAAACTTTGTAGTATTGGAATTAACAAACGAAATGGGAACAGATTCACCGGGAATTGTATACAATCAGTATGTCGGCTTTGTAATGAAATCATTATTATCTAGAATTCGAACCATAGATTTTTCAACACTGTCCTCCCCCACGAAATAATGTTGGATCGTTATGATGTGGCTTCATTTAAAACATATTTCTCACAGTGGTTAGAGTAAACATTAGAAGTGTTTTTATGATAAGGGTAAACAGCATTTGATATGAATTCATCCGATTCGTATACAAAATCGAGGTCATTTAGTACTGGCGCTTTGCATTGAACAAGTTTCCCACAAGAAACAAATACATTATGAGGACAAATAATGTTTGGTACAATATCGAGATTTGACTCAAATTTACTAAGAATGTCATTGCAGAGTAGAGGATCATTAGAAAAATCAGCATCTATCAAAACTACATCAGGTTTTCGATCACGACTGGGTTCATTCAACATATTTACCTTAGATTTGCAAGGAATTTCGTCAGAAATAAGTGAATCATTAGGAAAAACCATATTTGGTACAATAACATGAGAAATCTGACAAGTCGATTGATTAGAAACTGTTGTCTCGCAAAGATTATGAGTTTCATTTAACTCTGAACTGCTATATGACTCTACACTGTCTTTTGAAATCGTTGATAAAGATAAATGATCATTAGGAACACTGGACTTAATAGGATCAAAATTACAAGACTTAATATTCGTTGCAGCAAGATGAACAGTAATATTACAAACTGACGGAATACGTCCAATATCACCATATTTAAAGCACTCAGAATTACGAAATTTACATGAATTAAAAGAGTGGAACTTGCCACAGGACAAACATTGACCAAACTTGTGCTCATCTTCATGAACTGCATCACAACTCCTCAATGAATTATCTGCATAACCTTGAGTATGCACTGAATTGAGGTGAATCATTTTACGAAATTTCCCTTTACCATGTTTGAAATTTGTATACTTAACATAGTCTAGCAGTAGATCCTTGAGAGTTGTATAAGAAAGCGAAATGTGCTTTTCCGGTAAAGCCAGATTTTTTAATAAGCTATATGCTTCTTCTCCAATGAATGTGAGGAAATTTGCTACAATATTAACACCTTAATCATCTACCTTGGTCATAGCCCAGATTTCGAACCTTTCAAAATAATCTTCAAAAGCATTAAAATCTGAATGTATGTCCAACCGTTCCATCACAGGCTCCATCGTGACACCAATATCATAATTAGGAGTATTTGAATTATAGTATGAACTAAGAATCTCAGGAATAACGTGAACGGATCAAGAAGTACTAGATAAGCACGAACGAATATACTGTATTTGAAATTCGAAACCAAGCATTCAACAAGTACAAAGGAATCATTAGTTCATTCAAACACCACCTTATCATGTAGGATCCAAACTACGGTTTGGATGTTGAAGAATAGCCGACCGGGGATTTTAGACACGCGCCCTTTCCCGTCGAAATCAGAACAAGTAATCGGGTAAATAGCGGTTCTATAATTCATAATAAATTTAATGTAAATCATTACCTAAACAAATATTATCACCCGGCTATTCAACCAATGATTGTTCAATCAATTAAATCTAAATTACAATAAATAAAGAAGTTGATAGAAGATGAGGAAAAATTACCAATCACAACAAATCAATGTTATTCTATCCTGTCTGGATAGATCACGAACAGATTCGTTCAAAAGGTAATAATTGGTCGCTCTATAACACAGAGTGTTTTCAATTCTGGAAGAGTGCTTCAATTCACAACCAAAATGCACAATTCCAGTCAACACA